CATACATACATACATACATACATACATACATACATACATACATACATGCGTCCACCCACCCATCCATCCATCCATCCATCCATCCATCATACATACATACATACATACGTACATACATCCATACATGCATGCATGCACGTAGCAAGGCTCAAGCCATTCAGCTGCCCAAGCCCGCAGCCCCTCAAGACGGGCTAGTGCGTCAAGCCCTTGCGCTACAGGTGCAGGAAGAATCACCACAAGAACGGCCCAGGGAGACCGTGCCGTACAAAACACTCTTTGCTCGCAATAAAGGTGATCTTCTTCCTCGCTTCTGACTAAACCTTTGGCACCTGGCAGGATCTCGCCTGGCTTCTCCCTCAAGTTCTCCGAGGGCATTGGTACTATCTCACAACTGAGCACTTTGGCCAGAACGAGGTAGGTGCCCTGATCCTCAACCTCCATCCAGAACTTCGTCGAGGCCGCTGAGAACCTGGTCTTCCGGAACTATGACCTCATCCTGGCGCCGGGCCTATCAGGTCTGCAGCAAGAGCAGTTGCCACAATTGGATTTGGCAAGACAAAATCCAAAGCGGCAACTGCTGCAGGAAATGTGGCACATGGTGGGTCATCAACAAGTCGAACGGAAAGGGCAAAGGACAAGGCCATTCCAACAAGACGAACACCGCTTCGATGACATGGCCTCGCAAGACCTATCAAGAAGCCCTCATGGACTCTCCACCAGGGTTGGCCAGACCTAGGCCGCTCAGAAGGTCAAAAGATCAACAACAGGCAGCAGAGCTCCTCACGGCCACCTGGGATGTCATACCTGACCGACATCCTCAAGACCCACATGACCTCTCTCCCTCCGGAGGTTCAAGCTGTTGTCACCAAGTTGACGGCACCCATACCTCAAACGGAAAAGGAGATTGCACAACAGCTGAAGCAACAGGTCACCGAGTTGAAGAACCAGTCCATCAGAAAGAATCAGCTCCAAGTGAAGCTTGGTCAAGCGAAGAGCCAATATGCTGCCATGCTCCAAGATATGCAGGATATCCAGACAAAGCTCAATGAAGGCCAGCAGAAACTCAAGCAGCTCTCTGACAAGTACATGGCAGCAGTAAATCAGGCACCAAAACCTGAGGAGCTCAACCAGGAACCGGCAGCCCCAGAACCAATACCGATGGCAGTTGAATACTTTGTCGCCAGTTTAGACCATGGAGAGCCTTTACATGGACCTGTGCCCTACTTCAAGAAACAAGCACACAACCCTGGGGAGCACTGCAGGAAGCGGTACAGGAATCGCTGGACACAGCAGAGCCGGTCGATCTTCATCAACTACCAGGCATGCACAGTCTCTGGTCTCAACATGACCTCAATCTGCAGGGCGAGGCCAATCATTTCGTCAACTCCCTATGGCTGCAATCTCAAACCAGAGCATTCCATTACAGATAATCCGAGAAAACGTCTACTTAGTTGACCATGTTCAGATGCCGATCTTGGTGCCTTATCCGGATGATTGGCCTGAAGATGTCAAGTTCCAAGAGCTCATCAACAATTGGGCCAACCAAGGCATGGGACAGTATCTCATGGATGATAAGAAGGTTCTCATATGCCATGCCACGAGGAACACCGTCATTGATGGCATTGCAACAAAGCACAACAAAACGCTCAATCCCTATGGCACCTTCACTGTCCCAAGATCTCTCGACGGTTTTGCCAGAACATCGACTGAGTTTGTCCCAGCTGTCCTTATTTGTCACAGAGGCAAGACCCATGACACGGCCCACTACTTCGCCATCCTTATTTACCGGGACCTGATGCGGCTTGCAGATGACGGCAAAGTACCAACTTACTTGCCCTTTCTGACACCGAAATTGGCCAGTCAGATCACACAGTCAGACGTCTTCAAAACCCCTCAGCAGGTCTGGCGCAGTCTGCCCCCGCCGGAGGAGCCTGACTATGAGCCACCACTACATTCAAGTCCACAAAAGCGAGCCAGGAAAGCGCAGGGACATAACAAGGTCCACTACGGCAATGTCACCAACTTTGGCAGGCAAGTCATTGATTGGTACTGGACGAGAGAAGGAGAGATCCACATTTTTGTGGAGAGATCCTCCTCATGCTGCCGAGATAATGCTCCAGACCATGCAGCATCAACTCAAGGAAGCACAACAACAAGCCAATGATGAAAACATGCTCCAATACCAGGAATGGCTCACAAAAGGCCAGCAGAAAGGCCTCAAAGGTCTCTTTCGAGGGCTCAAAAGCAGTGAGTTGGCCTGGCACACGTCTCCAAGACTGGGGTGACCTTTGGGGAATCCGGGCTGACAACGATCCTCACCCTCGAACCAGCCTCAAGCATGAAGCACAAGCACAAGCCCAAGCAATAGAGCCTTTGACCACTGGACACCTCACCAGCGTCCTCAAAGGCGCACCGGACAAGGCAAGTGGGCCGGATGCTGTGTCAACCCAGCTACTCAAGGCAGCCCCACCGCTCTCGTTAGCACCCCTGCTCCAGCTTTACCACACCATGGAGGAACAGGCTGAGCTACCTACACAAATGCAGATGCACATGGTGGTGATGCTGCCGAAAAATCAAAACATTGAGCGGCCCATCACCTTGACTTCAACTGGAGAACATGGTGCAGGCTCAGAAAGCCCTTGTTAGATCAATGGCAGCGAACCTTGCCCAAAGAGATGGAGCATGATCGAGCCAGACCTGGAGCAAATGTGCTCTACGTTGCACTGGAGCGGTTGGGAAGACAAGAAGTTCAAAAGGCTCGAGGCCTCCACGGGGTCACTGCACATGTGCTCATGGACATGTCCACGTTCTATGACACAATCCAACTTGATCGACTGCAACAAGAGGCCATCAAATTGGGCTATCCGCCGCTACTACTTGAGCTGGCCACGCAGCTTTACACTGGACCCAAGGCCATCTCAGCTGAACAGGAATTCACGCCTTTCTTTCGAGTTGATCGAGGAATACCTGCCAGATGTCCTCAAGCGCCACTACTGGCCAAAGCGGTCCTAGCTCCAGCACTGGTCCCATGGAAGCAGGAGCATCCAAAGATCCATCTCTCCAGCTGGGTCGATGACATCGGCTATGACACCTATGGCAACAGCCCGATTCAAGTTGCCACTGCTGCAGTTGAGGCCTATCGAGATCTACATGAACGGCTGGTGCAGGTTGGCTTGAAAGTCAATGCCAAGAAAACTGCCTTTTTGGCCACAGACAAGGCCACTGATCGGGCCTTAAAGGCCATGCTCCAACCTCATGAACCACAAGTTGCGCCAGTGATGCGAGATCTATAGGAATAGATCATCAAGCGGCTCGGAGGAGGAGGATCCCGGTGATGAAGCAAAGATTTGCTAAGGCCCACCAACGCAAGCTCAAGCTCAGGTCCCTCAAGATACCCTCTTTGAAGGTCAGACTGAGATTGCACAAAGGAGGTATTCAACCTGTTGCCCTATGGGGACTCGAGGCTCAGGGTCTGGCACCGCACTACAGGATGGCACTTCGTGCAGCTCTGGCGAAGCAGCTGGGACACCACAATGGAGGCACACTGGATGCCACCTTTGACATCCACAGCAACAAATACATGGACCCAGCAGATCAGGTGATCATACACCATATCAAAGCCCTGCACACCTTGTACCATGCTTGGCTGACCGACCAGATGGCACACCTGGAGCAGGCTTGGGACATCATCCATCAACAATTGAGCAACAAGACCCATCCCTGGTACACAGTCAAAGGCCCTTTGGCAGCAACCATTGCATACCTCCTCGGATGGAAGTGGCACGCCAACACTCTGCACCGCTGGACCAGGGCAGCCACGGATTTCATGCTCGAAAATGAGTTCATGCTCGAAAATGAGATCAGGTTGCAAGACCCTTGGTGGAAGCTTGAAAAGACATTAGTCCAGGAGGCAGCCAACCAACGCACAACCAGGCTGGCCCAGAGACCACACCATCAGCATTTATTGGCAGGATTGGACTGGCACGTGCTTCGTCAGCTCCTCAAGAAGCTACCCCAGGACCACAGAACATATCTCAAGACCTGGGTACAGGGTGCAATCCACTTCAGAGAGCACGGCAAAACCAAACAGTGTCCGATCTGTGGGGTCCCTGCAACGCCAAAGCACATAGTGTGGATGTGCAAATGGCACCACGGGCGTGGTCACAAACCCATGCCTCCAGAGTGGGCAGACAGGCTCACGCAGCATGACGAAGAGCCTTCATGGAATGCTGGCAGCCCCAACACCACAAGCATGTCCAGCACCCATACCAGGGCCATGGCATTTGGCATGGCTTGCCGATCCTCCAGCCCCATCAGTACCAAGGCTGGGCCTTCACGCTCGACGCCACACCGTCCACCTGTGACTTGCGCAGCCAACTTTGGGTGTTTGGCCTATGCGTGCATGTTTTACGCACTGGACAATTGCAAAGACTCGGGGCCATCACAGGAGTGCCTGCAAACCCACAGACCAAGACCAGGGCTTTGATTGCAGGACTTGCTGCACTAGCCAAGCACACCAGCACGGCTGTTAAAGTCATTGTCCAAGTTGCTGCAGTCTGGGAAGCTTGGACATATCCCAAACACCGTGACCAGTACCAAGACCTCTACCAAGACCTGGAGGAAGACTTGATAAGGATCATGAGAACATCTACAGGCATGCAGCAGACAGACTGGCTTCAGTGTTCGCTGACAAGGAGCACTACCTGCACCAAAAGGCACCCCGGCATCAAGGACGACAAACAACAACACAAAAAGCAGCTGGTCCAACACTGCCGCAAACCTTGGCAGGCTCCATACCACAGATGGCAGCCGCATAGGAGCGGCTACCAGTGCACTGCTTGTGGTGAGAGGATTCCTCAGGCTCTCACGGCTTCCACCATAGAAGACAGGCTGGCGCAAGCCTGTCCACAGATCCAGCTCGATGAAATGCACCCGGAACAACACAGCCCACACAAGCCGATCCAGAAGAAGGTCACAAGAGCGCAGGTTGTGGCCCAGCTGTTGGAACAGCAGCAGAACCAACAGCCAGTCAGCCAACATAACCTTGAAGAAACAAAAGGATATCTCCGATGCACCACGTGTGGTCAAAATGTCCACAAAGGGACCAATGAGGGTGCATTCCAAGCTTTTGTGAATGGACAATTGCATCAACCAGCTCTATGACCAGGCACACACGGGCCATTCCAGTCACGTGTTGTGGCAAAGAGGGAACAAGCTACACTGCAAAAACTGTGGCACTCAGACACAAACAGATGCACAGAACAGGCCAATCATCACGGCAACCTTGCAGAAGAGTTGCAAAGGGGCACCGATAGCCGCTTCACCGCCCATCACTGAAATCTTCAGGCGTCAAACAGCCAAGGCTAGCAGGAGGCTGACCAACCCAACCATGGCAGGCCAGTTCTTAGCACCGAAGCCTCACCTCCAACAACCCAGATCCAGGCAGGCCATGAAACCCAGCCACACCTGGACACCCAAAACCGAGACAGTAGACTGGCCTCTTGTCGCCACTTGTTCCACGCCAGCTCACCTACAGTGATGGCACATCGGCGGCTCAGATGAATCCACTTGCTGACCAATTGCCAACCAGCCCAACAATTGCTGCAACTGGCCATGATACCCAGCCACTTGTCCAGCAGCCAGGGCACCAGACACAAGATCCGCAAGAAGTCCAGCCGCCTGAACCCAAAAGGCTGAGAGCGCGAGCAAACCTCCCTGATGGGTCACATGACCAAGAGGGCTCTGAAAGCTCACACGAGGGAGATCCAGAACTTGAAGTGGACTTCTTCTGACCCTACATGCTGCGCACCGTCATGGAGAAGAGGTGGCCTGCAGCTGGCTGGACGCAGGCCAATGAGCCTTCGACTCTGCAGGAAAAGAACCTTTAGGAAAAAATGCGTGCATGCATACATGCATACTTGCATACTTGCATACATGCATACATGCATACACGTACATACATACATGCATACACGTACATACATACATACATACATACATACATACATACATACATACATACATACATACATACATACATATTTACATATATACATGCATACATACATGCATACATACACTTGCATACATACACTTGCATACAAACACTTGCATACATACACTTGCATACATACACTTGCATACATACACTTACATACATACACTTACATACATACACTTACATACATACAGACATACATACGCATACTTACATACAGACATACATACACTTACATACACTTACATACCTACATACATACAGACAGACAGACAGACAGAGAGACATACATACATACGTACATACATACATACATACACATACATACATACATACACATACATACATACATACATATACACACACATACATACATACATACATACACCTGTACTTTGGAGGTTACCTCCCTGGGGTTCTTACTTGACTCTTGAGTCTCGAGGCCTACTTCCTCTTGTCTGGGAGGCCGGACGGCCAATGTTGGTCGAGCGTGACATTTGTGGGGAAGTACCCATGTGTTGTTGGTAAACACTTCCGGTGAGTCATCAATATAGGAACCAAAGGATTTCAAAAGGAAACCAAGAGGAATCAACAGGATTTTAGGTCTCTACTCAGGGGATGATTGAAGCCGCTGAGTCACCGAGTCACCGACTAGACATGTTGTATGATGTAGTGAGAAACCACCAAGCCTGCCAAATTTTTTTGGGCGAAAACCTTCTGCCAGGAGTCACCTGTCAGGGTGGTGTTTAGTCCCATCCACTGAGTGGATCATGGGCACCCCGACTACCTCCATGGATCGCATCCGCTGGTGGGAATGCCTCCGGTGACGAAGCCGTTGGCGGCGCTTCCAGTCGGAGCGGTCCGCGTTGGCGGTGCCCGATCCAACAGAGCGGTCCGGCCGAGCCGAGCCTCCGGCGGGATGGACATAGGGAACCAAACCGGTTCGGTGGACCCGACGTGTTGGCACACGGTCCAAACCAAACCTGAGGTCTCCTTCCTCACCAAACCTGAGGTTCGGGTACGAAAACGGATCCCTGAAGTTGGAAGTCATGCCTGAGATGCTGGAAGTCCTGCTGGTTACGACACTCCCTGGTTACGACACTCCCTGGTTACGTGGAGTGAACACCACCTCTTTGGAATTTGGATTGAAACTGGTCGGCCATGCCTGACCATATTCTAGGGCCGTGTAAATCCACTAAACGAATCCAAGAGAAGCCTTTGGCTTTGATAGAGCTCCGGTTGCAAGGGTTTGTTTAGTAGATCGAACGATCATCCAAGTAGGTCGGTTGTGGGAGGATTTCTAGATTTCGTTCCATAGAGAGCAAGGATTCACCCAGACTGGGTCTCCGGTTCAGAGCAAGGCTGAGCATACAGAAGGCTCTATCATGCTCTACTCATCTCTATTCCATTGTTGAGGAGGAGTAAACGACTACATCCAAGCTAGACTCTAGATGTTCTTCGCAATGTAGGACATAGGCCATGTAGGACAGACAGGGCGGACCAGGGCGGACATCGACCCAGTTTCTAAGTTGCTCTGAAGCGCCCTAGCTCGAAAGCGATGAAACAAGACTGGCAATTGAACAAACTCATTTGTGCCAGAAAAAACTCTTTGGGGTCAATGTGCCTGGGTGCCACTGTTACCTGTAGGTGCCAAAACGTCGGGTCCAGTGGTGAGAACCTGAACGTACTTTCCCTGCAATTTCGTAGGGATTTATGGGGGGAAACCACTGACGTGGCTGCTTTGTGTTTGTAAAGTGTACAGTTGTTCTTCTTTTCAAGGTCTGACAAAAGTTAAGAACATAGGGAGGCGAAGACAAGGACTACGCTGTTGGTCATGGCAAAACGTGTCTACTATCCCTAGAGGTCAAAGACCTCGGAAGTTGATCATACAAAAACACCACTGAAGGGCGATGAGGTTTTCAGGACCCAGTTTTACATCGTTTTACTGGGCCAGACTGGACCTGCAGGGTATAGTTCTATGTTTCGACTACACCCAAATGCTTCAGTTCGCGTTTCGCGCGGTTCGCATAGTGCGGTTCGCATAGTGTGGGCGCCAGGCAGCCCTTTGATTCCTTCTGCCGGGGCGATGTGGAAAATATCCTCAAGGCGCAGAAGTCGTCACCACACACGACACGTGTTTTCAGAACTGTGACGAAGCGGTGATGTTTTTTCTGCCAGTAGGTGGGCTTGAGAACTTCCGCTTCACCTGGCCATTGCTAGTAACTTGGAGGCCATTGCTAGTAACTTGGAGGCTGCCTCATGGCTTCCTGTTGCTAGCATTGGGTGTCCAGTCCGACTCATGTCCGACCCTGCAGGTGCAGGTCTGACCTGTAAACGGTTTAGTGTCCAGGTCCTGAAAAGGCCAATTGCCTTCAGCGCTGAGTCCTTTTGGTATCCGTTGACCTGAGGTGGTTGACCTGTGAGAGTGCAACTGGGCACCGACCAGCAAATAGGCCCTGATTGGGGAGAACAAATGGCCTGCTCAGAAGGTATTCAGACATTACGGGTGTTCTGGGAGGTGCACTCAAGTTGAATGTTAATCCAAGCAAGTACTTGTAGCTGCAAGATCCCAAACCAGTGCACCCAGCCACGTTATTGCAGCGCGCACGTTGTGCCCTCTCCAGGCATATCTCAAGGGCCAAGAACCACGGCCAGAATTGGACATGTTCACAGGGTCTATGGAGACTTGGAATTTGCTTCATTACACTTTGTTGTCTCCCCCGCGCTAATACTGAACATGTTCAGACTTTGGGGAATCTGTTATGCCTAGATCTTCAGTCCGGCACTTTTACAGGGTCCGGCGCCGGACTTCCAACTCCGGCGTTTTTCTGGATTTGGTCCGGCGGTTTTTCCAAGTCACTTGAAATGTGGATTCTCAAGTCTTTGCATTCTTTGTGGCTTGCATTTCTTTGAAGGTAATGATTTGCTTGCAAAGTGTGCTCATTTGCCTGTTCCGCTGTTTTCTCATTCCACCGGTTTCAGCATGGTTCACACTGGATCAATCAGATCCGTTTAGGTGATCTTCTAAGTGAAATCGGATGAAATTGGTACAGTGCGATGCACGTGTTGAAAGACCCAAGTGGGAGTACCTAAGCTGAAAGAACATAGGCAAAGATGTACTCCCATTGTTTCAGGATGTCGGGGCGCTGGGATATAATTAGTTCTAGTTGCGCAGGCTTGCAGAGCCTGCCGGACAAGTTTTGGGCTGTGGAACATGTGTTGTTCAGAATCTCAATGTTTTGCAGAGAGTTGCTAAGAAAAATTGCACGTCGTAACTCCGGCGTTTTTTCCCGTAACTCCGGCGTAATTTCCCGTAACTCCGGCGTAATTTCCCGTAACTCCGGCGTATTTTGTTGGACTCAGTCTTTTGAATTTTGAAAAGTTTTTCAACTAAGAGTTTCGACAGGAACCATGAGTGCTGCTACTTTATTGGCGGGGCCGTCCTGAGGCAAGCAATAAAAAACAATTTAAAACCATATAAGAATCATGGAGAGCCACTTTGTAAAAAACAATTAGAGACACGGGTGCAGAGAAATAGGGGTTCCTTGCCACATACTCCTTGGTTTCTTCTTGGAAGTCTTTGCTTGGGCACAAGTTTGCTTATATTTTGTGATGGTTCTGCTCTTAGGCCATTCGGAAGATGGGCGAGGGCAATGGGAACGGGAAGGCTCCAGTGCTGGGTTGTGGAATGAGTGTGTTCCAGAAAAAACTACTTGTGGCGCAAAGGCAGTTTGCTTGGGTATGATCCAGCCTTTTATCATCTCTGTTTTTCAGAATCTTGGATCCGGATGTTTTTTCAGGTCTCCGGCGTTATTTTCGGAATCCGGCGGAAAAATTTGCCGGATTGAGGTCCGGCACTTTTTTTCCGCCCAAAGGAGGATCCAGGTATAGCGAACAAAAATGTATTGTTTTCCCGGGGAGACTCACCCCGAGAAAACTCTTCCAAATCCAATGATTTAGGGCTGCATCAACAAAAATATACCATGCACATGTAGTTGCACATGTATATAACCTATTATGATTATAAGACTTTATCTATACCATTTAAATTATGTAGCATAACAGCATAACATGCATTATTCCTGTAGACACATACAATGTAATGTCATTGTATATAATGTGTTTGTGCTTTTCTGCTTTCTTCGCACATCTGAGGAGATGAGGGCATTTCTCCAGGCGAAGCCGGCGGCGCGAAGCCGGCGACGCGACGGGGAGGTCTTTTCGGTGCTCCACCCGTCGTCTCGTCCTGGAGTCCCGTCGTGGTGTCGTCCTGGAGAGGTGAGACCTGAACCCTCGGACACGTTCTGAGTGGTCCGGGATTCTCATGGGTGGCCCGAACAGGGCTGTGATGGTGCAGCTTGCTCGCTTCGTTCACACTCCGGTCGCCAATCTGAACGACTTGTCTTTCGACTATAGGGCAATCCAAGAGATCCAGAGGAGCAAGCCCGTCTTTTGGCACCAAGAGATCTTTTGCCCATGACGCAAGGCTTTACCATGCTTGCTCAGCCGTTGAGAGTTGTGTCCACACCGGCACTAGGCGCCTGGACGCACAAACTAGTCTCTGATGATCCGGTTGGCAGGTTGGTTGGTTTTAGAACAAAACACGCAAAACAGGGTGGCCAACCCAAAACGATCTTCGAGTCACAGCTCTGTGGTGGGGATGTGGTGGAGAGGTGGTTTTTCGCCCGTGCTGAGTTGCTCAAGAGGATTGATTCGCTGTTGCTTTGTGTAGTTGTGTCCCAGTTTCTGGCTGATCTTTGTAGGCCATACGTCTCACCGATTTCACCGAGTCACCACCATACCAAAGGATCCTACTTCGTGATCAAATGTGATCCAATTTGTGCCAAAACGGATCAAACGTGACATGTTGCACTACGGCCACGTCCACCACGGCCACTTCTGCGGCTCGGGGGAGGTCTGAAGGGCGAGCCCAGCAAAGCCAGACCGGACGAATGGGGCTGGAACTGTTACATGTATGTACTTGAGTGATCCATCCCATGAGAGTCCTAACACTTCCAGTCCCATGAGAGTATTGCGATGGATCACTGGAAGTGAATACGTATTACATGGACTTCCTCGATTCCTCAAGTACTAGGACCCACGGTCGGGGTGGTTTTCATGGACACCCCGAATCACCTCTGAGGGGCTATCAAGTTTGACACCCCAAACAGGAACCAAACAGATCCCATGGTTCCCCTTCATCCGCCGGACACCGTGGCACCGTGGCACCGCAGTGCACCGCAGTGCACCAGCCCGGACCGCAGGAGGCATGGCATCCTGAAGCTTCACGTCGACCCAGTGCAGCGGAGTGCGCGGAGAGGTGAAATGAGCCGGATGTGGGTCGGAGCCGCGGAGGATGAAGACGTTCAACCTATAGTCCAGCGAATTTCCTCTATAAAATGACCACCCTTGGGGGTCAGGTGGAATTCACAGGGGGATTTCAACCTTTACTTGTTTTGGGGGGAGGTTGAACTAACCCCAAGGATCCAGTCGTACCATCTGAGAAGGTGGGACGAACCGGGGGGGTGTTTTTGGAGGGTCCAGTCGTACCGTACTTGAGGAGGTACGACTGGATCCTTAGGGTAGAGGATGATTGAACCCCACTGGTTGGTTCAATTCCCTTTTGATGATTGAACCACCTCAATGTGATTTGACCCCACCAACCAGTGAAAGGTGGGAGTTCTTTACTGGTTTTTGAGGGATGGACGGTGTAGGCTAACGTCGGCCGGCGGCAGAGGGAACAGGTCTCCGGTGACCTGGCGATGTCGGAACGGGTGCACAGGTGCTGCAGAGGTATGGAGGCAGAAGAGAAGGGAGATGACGAGAGGGGCAGCAGGTACTTCCTGCCCTAGGCTGGGCAGGAAGTTCCTGAACTGAAGTGAACTCTTGTAGGTCAGAGTTTCGGTGAATCCAATTTGCTTAAGAAAGCATTAATTATGTATGTTAAAACCAACCAAATCCATGAGTTCTACCTCAATGCGTTGGCACGTCAGCATTCTTGCTGATCTCCCGAGACTGGGGACCCTTTTTTAAGAGTTGTTGCCGGCTTTGACAGCTAAGTAATCCAACCACATCCAACCTCCTTCAACATGTCTTCCTCAGAAACATCGTGTTTTACCCCACCCTCGGCACCCAAACTCTCTTCCAACAACGGCGAAACCCCTGGAAAAGCCCGGGCGAAACGAGTGTCTGTGTCCAACAAATCTTTTGAGCTTGCAATATAACCCAACGAAGTCCGTCGCGGTTGCCTTCAGTCCTCGATGAAGCTTCCTACCATGTGGTTCACGTGACCAGATGTCAAGCGTGACCTGGTTGGCACGTGATGCCAGGTGATGCCAGGATCGCGCGGTTCCTTCGCATTTTGCATTTTACTTGTCGCACGAGAATGGTGTGCGCCACGTGTTTTTTGTGTGCGCGCGGAGTGACTGAGATGTCCAGGTTGGCGGAGATCTCGACGCACGGACTCCTGCATTCAGAAGCTTGGAATTGATCGTCCCAACATTTGGTGGTAGATTGCCCCTAGCCTTCAAAGACCTGACCTGGTGCTTTTGGGGTATTTTAGGGTTAAACTATTGTAAACCAATTTTTCTTTTATGATTCAGACCCTTTGAAACAATGATGGGCCGCGAAGCCTGCACCTGAAGCGCCCTGTGGAATTTGCGGCTTGCCTTGGGGCAGAGTCAGAGTGTACAGTGCCTTGGGTACTGTACCTGGGCCCATGGGTAGTTGTGATAGTTGCTTTGACTAACTAGGAGGGGTACCTTGTGCTGTCAGAGTTTCATCCAGAAACCAGTCGTGTCAACCAGTCACTCGATTCTGGCGTTCGGAGCTCCTCTTCCGAGTCACGGCTTTCGACCCATCCCATGACCGGGACTGCCGGACTGCCGCCCCAGACAGACCCCGACTTCAACCACCACCCACTGATCGTCATGGCAGTCCCATGGAGTGTCTGATTGACCCATCATGTTGTTTAAAAAAGGATCAATGATCCCATCATGTTGTCCCATCATGTTGTCTGATTGACCCATCATGTTGTCCCATCTGTTGTTCAATTATTGGGGATCCGTTTTCGGGTTCGGAGACACACTTATTTGCCGGTCGGTCGGTGTGGCCTAGTCGCGTCGGGTCCGACGTCGTACCGAAGCGCTTGGGTTACGGTACCAGAACGGATCCCGACGATACATGTCGGTCAATATGCCCCGTTGTCAAACAGGTGGTGTTTGGGATCTTCCGCCCTGCGAGCCTGTTGAGCCTCCTTGGTGTCGTTGAACCGGAGACGAAGAAAAGCGGTCTTGTTTGGCTTCCTCGAAGTCCAAAAGATATAGATATATATATATATATGAGCCTTTTCCGAACAAGTAAGACCGAGCGCCCTGAGAGGAACATCTTCCACACCCACTTCAACTTTTGTTTTTTGAGGTATAGGGTTGAGTCTTAGGTCCAGCCCAGCTCGCAAGCTGTTTTCCGCGCCACTTCTTCTGAGGTGGGTGTCTTCTCCAAGAACCTGAAGCGAAACCTTCAGCCCTTTGCAAGGAGCACAACGGCCTAGGAGCCCGCTCAACTCGTTCTTGCGCGGGGGTCCATTTTTCTTCCCCGCCGCCGACTCCGAGAATGGTGTCAGGCTGTTTCGCCGTGTGCCACGGGTGTGAAGGTCTGCGAAATTAGTCTTCATGCGCTGCCCAGCCTGTGAAAGGACCGTGCGAGCTTGGGGGGAGAGGTGGTGCCGCGGGAAAAAACACTGGTTGCCAAAGGTTGATAAGCTTTCTTTGGTTCTATGCAGTGTGATTACTGTACCCGATTGGAATCTTCCAAATACAGGCATGGTGGTTCTTGATTAATAACCCCCCCATATGAAGAGGATTTTGCACTTCAAATGAGGGTGGTTATTAATCAAGAGTCTACATTTCATGGTGGTTCCGAATTCTCTTGCGAGTTCATCCCTCAGAAATCGATGATGATTGATGCGTTGGACGAGGACACCGGGACTTCCCTGGGTGACTTCCATAAGAAGGACCATCGAAAAAAGGCTCACCGGCTCAAAATCCCAAAATGGGTTTAAGGGAACATCTCGAGGAAACTGAGGAAAAAAACAATGGGACTGAAACTGGGACTGAAAACCCAGGGTTTGCTTATAGATGGCTGCCGTATTTGAAGAGGGAGACCTCCTCACCGTGGCTAGGTAGACTGGTCCAATTTCCGACCCGAACCCAGTGGGAGAAAGCCTGGGCGCCTGGGCCGGGGAGGTCTCCATATAGTGAAATACAGGTCACCCCATCGGTCCTCCCAAGGGAGGTTGCACCAAGGAGGTCTGTATACCCCTTGGTACTGTATACCCCTTCGGTCAGTTCATCACAACTCAAAGACTTCGAAGACGATCCACGTAGAGGCTTGCCACTCGCTCTTGGGTCTCCACGCATGTGTGCAGTAACATCAACCGAGGAATGCAAATATATACGAGTTAATTGGGGTAACTAGATATATTTATTATACATGTTAAACTCAGACGCAGACTAACTACATCAAAATTATCTACTATCACTTTGAGGTACAAGAGCATCAAAAGCTTGCTAGTCGAGCAACGCCAAAAACCTCGAGCAAAACGGGTTTTCTTTTCTTTTGGTAGGATCGAATGAAAACCCGGTGCCTCCCCTAAAAACGGTTCTTTGAATCTCCAATTGGACTCGAGATTTTGTCCTCGCGGTTCACGCGTCCCGCATGCGCTCCAGACCAAGCGCAGCGTACGCGTGGCGTGAGCGTATAGGGACACTGGAGGCGAAACTCGAGACGACCGCTGCGGATGGTGCAAGCCATATCAGCTCAGAAGTGTTTCAGATGTTCTAATATATTAAACCATTCTATTTCCTACTATTTCCTACTTTTGGGATCATTGAGCCAAGTGACTAGTATGTATCGAAGTTTTTTTGAAACCAGCAGCTCAGCAACCAGTGATTTGAAACCAACCAGGCGCCTGTGTTGTTTTGAAAGCTCCACCGACTTGGGGTCTCAAGTGAAAGCTCACAGAGGCACCAAGCTGCAGCATTCTTCTCGACAGTGTTGGAACGCGCCGATGCGGGTGGGTGAAGACAGTGCCGATGCCAACATCATGCATATACAATGTGTGGATGCAGAGTTACCAGCAAAATCGCTCAACTCTACTGCACTCCCAACTATATAGACCCATTAAAGTAATTACGTATTCACTTTTGTTTACACCCTGACAGTACCATTGTTTCATATTGTTTCTAATTTGTTGAATTGCTTCTGTAGTGTAAATCCTTAGTAAAACAATGGGTGTTTGGGATTCAGACCATGAAAACACGGGGAACCATCATGAACCCATAAAACAAAGCATCCCAAGTCAGCAACTCTCCCAGTTCCCTTTTCTGTTTGAGGAAAGAATTGCTTATAGATGTCTACCCCCCCTGCCGAGATGCCTGCTCCGCCGTTTTGGTGGTTGGTCCGCGAAAGAATGGGTCCGACTTCTTTGGGCCCATCTTCCTCCATGTTCGTCAAAGGGGATACAGCCGCATACAGCACATCGGCCCATCTGAAGTCGGATTGGACCCGAAGAAGCGTCGATCTCAACGATGACGTCCAGGTCAAGGCCTAGCTCTCAAACGTCATCACGTCCCTAGCGGCCTCACTCCCCGGTTCGCTTCTGGCCTCAAAACCGGTGTAAGCTTCTTGCGCACCCGACTCGTAGCCCCAGGATGGCGAACAACCCCACCCCACCCCACCATGTTCGCCACACCTGGGGGTCAACGAGATCGGTTCGGTTCGGTTCACGACCCGTTGACCTGAGGTCGGTAGCTGGAGCCGATCGGTTCGGGGTACTGTGGGAGCCGAGGCAAGTGGTTTTCTTCCTGCAGAGCCATACACGTACCGTGAAGTCCTCTTTGTTTGTGTTGTTTTAAGGGATCCACTGCCACCGTACCTCAGAAGGTATGACTGGACGCTCCTGGCACCTACATAACAGTGTCTCCTTCCTCACCTTCTCAGAGGGTAGTATGTGATGGTATGTGGATCCCTAGGGTTTTAAGGGTTCCAGGTAATATATCATGAGCCTTTCTGCGCTCTTATGGTGGTCTCATGGTCGTCTCATCCGGGATCCCAGGCGGCCTTTGACTCTGGCCCTTAGTTTAGGGAGAAAAGGGAAAGACAAATGAAAGATGCTAACCACACAGACCTTTTTTAGAAGATCATTGGAACATATTGGAAACTCCTGGCACCAACATAAAAGTGTCGAACACATCGCCTTCTCAGAGGGTATGTGGATCGGGTGTGGATCCATTCTATATAAAAGCCATCATATATATATATATATATATAATATATATATATCCATACCAGCACCACCCAAAGGGTTGTTTATAACCCCCCCCTGAAGATGTATTTTCCATCAAGTAACCACCCTTTGGGTGGTGCTGGTATATATATTCCTCGGTGTGGATCTGTTCTCTTTTGGAGGGTGGAGCGCTTGGGGCATCACCCCACTCGTTTCCCGTTGGCTTCACAGGTCCCCCCGCTGTTCGTTCCTTCCGTTGACCGACCGGGAACCGACCGGGTCGAGGACACCGTCGACTCCAGAGCCCTTTAGGCGACGGATGGTCTCACACACATTCGTTAGGGATCCACTGCCACCGGGAGTAGGGACTTGACTCTTTGATTGATCCAAGGTTTATCCCTATTGATCCTGGGTTCGGTACGACTGGACCCGCACGTGACTTGGCACCTGTTATCATCACAGTGCCTCCTTCCTCACCAAACCTGAGGTTCGGTACGAAAACGGATCCCTAGGGCATGGTTCTGCCAAGAAGGGGACCAGTTCTACTTCAACTTTCGATTCTTTTTTTTGGGGGGATGAGAGAGTATCATACCCTGGTTGAAAAGGATGAATGCTCCATATGAAACACATGATCTACCAACTACTGCTGTTGGTGGTAGACATGTTGCAACGACGACATGTTGTACCCCAGCCAGCACGCAACTAGTATTGCTCCCAGCTTGTCCGCTACTGGTGCAGGAGAACTCTTGCTGCAACAGAATTTTTAGCAATTCCTTGCTTCCCTTTGATCCCTCTTCCTGGTGGGAGATATCTGTTCCTTGAGTCCAAGAACAAATCCAAAGTACTATAGGCAAAACAACGCAATTTCATCAGAATTCCTTTCTTCTAATCACTTGGCTCTTGGCAACCCTGTGCCCCTCTGGACTGAGACACAATAAGATAATGAAGCATCCTCGACTGCTGCTTGAGGCATTGAGTGTCCGCTCACCGCACCCTTCGTCGCTATCCGCCTCCGGCTTGACGATTCCAAATGTGGTCGTCCATTGTCCAGGGTGGGCTCCAAACTAATGGGGGTTACTAGTAGCTTCCAGCTGCCAGTAGTAATGCCCTTGTTACTAGTAGCGATGCCCTTGTTACTAGAATTTGGGGGGGTGTTCTTCTTGTCGGCAAACGGCGATGACAGGACGGTGAAACATGCTGGTCCATAACACCTGCTTGAGACAATCCAAGAATGGCATTCAGAACTGCGTGGCTGAAAGATTCCGTGGCACTGGGTGATGAGGAATTTTGTTGACTCAATAGACATTGAGTGGACTTTCAGTGTAAAAGAGGTTGAGGGCGAAACTGCAAACATGAACCGGCTGGTGGTTTCAGATAGGTTTTTGGTCAAACTTTACTTGAGAAATTGATCCCACTTGCGCCCGTTTGTTCGAGTTGCTAGACCACCAACCAGTTGTTCAACGGTGGCCGGATGAGTCATCACCGATGCTGCATCGGTTCCTACTCGCCAGACTCATATCTCTCACGCGAAAGGCGGTTCAGGACACGACCTGTTTTGCTGTTTTGACCCTCACAATCCAGGGTGAAATGGACTGAACCAACATCTGGGGTAGCTTCGGGTCCAGGGTCGCCTCATATCTTGACAAGTACCATGATCCTACCCAGACCATATGGAAGAGTTACCTATGGTCATAAAAGGGCAGTTATGTTTTTTCAGCCGCTTCCTCAAAAAAGAACATTTGAAATTTGTCGCCTGTGCGTGTTCAGAAGTTGATTTGGAAAGGTTGAAGTAAACACGTACCACTCGAGACCCCTTTGAAAAAAGGCACGTGTAATGGGCTTAATTAGGTTAAAACAGAACGACATATTTTTTGTGTGGGGAAACGACTTCGCAGGGTTTGCAGCACTTGGTTGCAATTGACTTTTACAAGTTTGGGGCCCAGAAAACCCGTTCTCCCTTTCCCTTTTGCTCAGCGTCGACCTGACTCAGCGTTGTGCGCGTTTGCTCTTCCGCTTGGGGGCGGGAGGCTCGCGCAGCAGGCGTCTTGCAGCGCTGTTTCGTTGGCCGAGAATCAGGGTGACTAGTGGTGGAAGAAGACTGACGAAGACTTATTCTGACACAATGCTGTACAGGGCTCAGCTAGGCCAAAGAGTGTTCATGAGTTTTCTGAACGGAGGAGCCCTGTATGAATCGGCAGACAAGGCCAGGATGTATGCCCGGATTGGGGGGTGTAGTATGGACTCGTGAGAGTACAGTCTTGCTATCAACAGTCTTTGGGGTCACTGCCATCACGGCTAGTTAAAACCCTTAAGCACCAGCCAAAACGTGATGATGGCTTTTACCACATTTGCCTAACAAGAACCATGTGGTTAATATCACCGTAAACAAGGTACCATCAGGGTTGAACAAGAACCTACCAACAACATCAGGGTTCTGAACATCATA